TTCCCTTTGTGTTCGTCATTTTGGTTAATTACTGGAAGATGGTGGTCAGTTATTATTGTTTTTTAATTTGACCAGAGAGAGAGAAAGGGAAAGTAAGAGACCAAGCCGCCAGGTCCGGGATTCGAACTATGGTTGGCCATGTGGGAGTGCAGCACCTTAACCACCATGCCACCTGCTGGCCTGACTTTTTTTCATTTTAATTTGCCAGAGGGCACATGCGCTCACCAGAAAGAGGCAGAGAAACAGGGGGGTGGGGAGAAGGAGAAAGCACTCCCACGGGGCGTGATCACACCCCAGTCCCTTCTCCCCCATTCCTCTATCCTGCTGGGGTAGGAGCGTGTACGCACACGCACCCACCAGATCTGGGACTTGAACCATGTGGTTGGCCATGTGGGAGCCCTTAGATGGTTGGGAAAATCTGACGAATTTTTCTATGCTTTTCTATGCAAAAATGTGTCATGACTTTCCCAATGACCCAGTAGCTCCTTTAACCACCGGGCCACAGGCTGGCCCTGTCTTCACTTTCCTGTCCCAAGAGTTACCTGCCTGTTTACCTATGACCAGCACAATGACCTGCCTTATGCGCTGAACCGAGGAGGGTGCCGTGGTGACTCTGGGTTCAGCGTGGGGATGACAAGCCCAGTTAGGGCTGCTCTGCCGTAGGAGGGGGAGGGGCAGCGCAGGGCCTAGTCTGCCTATGCCAGTTGAGCATGGAGTGGCTGCCCAGCAAATATTTGTCAAAGGAATGAATGGGCACTCCTCAGTTATCTAGTAACTTACAGCTAACATGTCCGTGTTCCAAGCATTTTCATTGTCGTTACATCATAGTGTTCTTCTAATAACCCTGTGACCAGCTAGGATGAGGCACTCACATCGGCTAGTAGTGACGCTGTGGTGAGGCCAAGTGATTGTCCTGTGCGCGCATAGTAAGGTGGCCGCAGAGCTCAAACTGCCAGGCCAGCCATAAGCTCCCCTTAACTGTCGCATTCAGGTTCCCAAAAAGGCTGTCACTGCTTTTTCTGGAATCAGGGCAAACCGGCCCGTTCTCATATTTACTCACCCCTTTCTCACAGCTCCCCACCCTCGGAAGCTTCTGTCCAGTCTCATGTTTCTCAGTAGGAAACATTGCACCCAGGCCCAGCCGCCCAGCACCCTGCCATGACGCTGTGCTTCACAGACTAGGACCACATGGGAAGGCTGGGTTCAGTTCCTGCTCCAGCCTAGAGGACAGGCGGGGTGGCCTGCACAGATAACCCCAACAACTAGGGAGGCTAAGGCAGGAGGACTATGGCCCTGAGGCTGCCTCCGGCAACATAGCGAGACCCCCCCGCCCCGACTGAAAAAGCACGAGGTGGTACTCACCCATAGTTCCAGGTGGGAGGCTGAAGCTCTGGCCACAACAGCAAGACCCTTCTAACAAACAATCAGTGTCAGAAAGCATTGCACTGGCCACCTTAGAAATGGCACACCATGGTAGGAAAGGTACAGCCAACAGGAGGCCTCCTGGACTAGGTACCTCCGCTAGATTCTCTTGGCTAGGTATTTTCATTTCGGTAGTGTCCCGCAAGAAACTCGATCTGATTAGCCTCCGTCCCTCCGTTGAGCCACGCCACGTCTACTCCATCAAGCCCTGTGGTCACTGGTCTAGTTGGGCGGAGGGGTCTGGTCCGGGGAGGGGTAGCTGGGCATTCCCCTCTGCTAACCTCATGTCAATGGCTCCTTGTCTTCGTCAGGTATGGGCCACGGGCCTCAACCTTTCGTACAGTGACCAGCTGGCTCTGACGCAGCTCACCTTGTACCTGACAGATGGCCACCTGGATTGCGGCCTGAGCACCTTGGAAGTGCCCCGCCCTGTTCCAAAGGACGAGAAGAAAACCGGTCACCCTTGTGGCCTCTCCACGCCGGTAAGTGACAGATGAGTCCTGATTGCTCTCGGTGCTCAGCATCTCTCTGCCGCCGCACACTGAGCGGTACGTGCCCACCTCTCTGCGTGTAGAGAGACGTGCTGGTCCCAGCCAGCCAGTGGTGTGGTGGTGAAGGCAGGTGGATCCCACATGGCCAAATGCATGGTTTGAGTCCTGGGCCAGGAAGCTTGAAAGACATGCCAGGTGCATGTGCGTGTGTGCCCAAAATCCCAAAAGGAGATTGGAGAAGGGACTGCGGCATGACCATCCCCTAAAGGGTGCTTCCCCCCACCACCCCCACCCCCGACATTCTCTGGTGAATCCTCTGACAGATCTAAAAAAAAAAAAAAATTTTTTTTTTAAATAGGGAACCTAGGCAAGTCTCAGGGCTCTCTGAAATGGGCTCTAGGAATGTGAAGGTGTTGGACAGAGGAAAGGGGGGAGGATATTCCAGAAAGAGAAAGCAGCGTGCAGCAGCTTGGAAGAGCATGGGGTGTTCGTTCGGGGCCTCCCCTCAGTTCTCCACTCGTTTTCCTGGACAAGGGCGTCGGAACCAGTTCTTTCTGACAAAACCCACATATCTGTAGCCCCAATCTCTCTCCTGGGCCTCAGACTCCGAGATCCGTATTCTCCAGAACTGCCCTGCTGAGAGTCCTCTGCGTCCGGCTTTCCAAAACTGCACCGCCATCGCCCGTCTTTCTGAACTGCTTGGGGGATCAGGCCACCATCATCCCAGCTGCTAAAATGCCTCAAATCTGCTCCTCCAAGCCAGCACCTTGGTTTCAGCTTTGATCGTCACGCACAAGATTCCGGGTGTCCTGTCTCTCCCCTCAGCCTCCACGAACACGGCAGTCAAGGTGGCAAGGAGGGAAGACTGGGGTGCTTTGCTCCCCTGAGTAGGGGGCTTGGAAATGGCTTCTGTAAGCTCCTTTCCCCCTTTTTTATGAAGGCCCTTCATGATCTGCCTCTTCCCAGGGCCACAGCCTCCCTCTCCACTGCTCCCATCGCTCTGGCAGCCAGGGTTGAGGGTTTTCAGCCTCGGCACCTAGACAGCGGGGGCTTGGCCGGGTGGCCACGCTGACCATGGGGAGCGAGAACAAAGGTCAAGTGCAGCACAAAAGACTGGGGTTCTCGGCTGCAACTGCTCCGACAGCTGCTCAAGGGCGTGCTCTGCCTTCTCCTACACAGTGGGCTTCATGCGTCTCCTGGCAGGTGAGGCTCTGCTTGAAACCCAGACATACCGAACAGACAAACAGGGAGCTCCCGTGGTTAGTAGGAACCCCCTTCTCAGAGCAGGGCCTCCTGCCTCTCTGCTGAGCCCCCTCAGGTACAGGAGACACCTCTAGATTTGAAGAGCCCGTGTTCAACCCTGCCCAGGGTCTCCACAGTCACACTAGAGAGGGCACGTCTTGTCTCGGGGCTCAGGCAGCCTCCTTCCCAATCCAGCTGTCGTAAGGGGTTCCAGCAAGTATCTCTCTCACAGGAATCCCCTTAATCTCTTTGACTTTTTAAGAAGAGAAGTGAGGAACCAGTAGTTGGCATAATGGCTATGTCGCTGGACTCCCATATAGTCGACCTTGGTTCGAGTCCCAGACCCGGTGGCTTAAACTCACGCCGGGCGCGTGTGCGTGCGTGCCCAAGATCCCGAGAGGAGAATGGAGGAGAAGGGATTGCGGCGTGGCCATCCCACCCTGGGACAGTCTGCCACGTTGAAGGGCAGTGTTTTGGGAGGCCGGAAGGAAGAGTCATACTTGGAGCACAAAGCCTGTAGCTTCCACTCCTGGCTACGGGCAACGTGCTGGAGCTCCATGATCAGACGTCTGGGACACTTTCTGTCTCTCTGTCTCTGTCTGTCTGGTGAGCGCACAGGCCCTATAGCAAAAACCTCTCGACAAAAATAGAAGAAGAATAGAAGCAAAATTGAAGTGAGGAGCAAAAACAGAATTCTTTTAATCAGGCCCCAGGACCTTACTGAGAATCCCTAAGCCCTGACAGCTCCGTGGCCTCCACCTTCACCAGAGGGCTCTATAGACTCCTAAAGTCAGTGCCGGGGGGAGGAACTGACAGTAGTGAAAGCCTGAGCCCTGCCAGCTGTGACCCTAACTCCGTGCCAGAGGCTGGCTTAGTACCCACATCAAGACTCCCCAGAACAGTCTGCCGCATTGAAGGGTGGTGTTTCGGGAGGCCGGAAGGAGGAGTCGTACATGGGGTGCGAAGCCCTTTCCCATTTCCCCACCTTGCCTGTAGCTTCCGCTCCTGGCTACTGGCAACGTGCCGGAGCTCCACGATCAGGTGTCTGGGACACTTGGAGGGACTCCTGCACACGGAGGGAGGCATTACGGTCTGTGATCATCATGTGTCTACGGTCGCAGGGGAGAAGCTCTGCAGGTCTTCCGATGCAGGGATCAACGGAAGGGGCTCTTGGCTTGGGAACAATATAAACAGTGTACTTGTCCAGTGCCACTGTGCTCATCTGTGCACACCCCCGTGCACGCGGACACACGCGATAGCTGTTCCTTGAAGGGAGCGTGCACACGGGCACACGCGGTACAGTCCGTAACCACTGGAGCCTCCTAAACAGTGTGAGCGGACGGCGATGCCGTCACGTCTGCGCTCGGCTGACAGCCCCCTCTGCAGCCTGAAGAAAGGAAGTGCACAGGTGAGACCGCAGCGCTGAGCGTGCCTTCGGGACTGGGGCCTGCGCACACTTGCAGTCTGGGCCCGCTCCTTAGGTGATACGCTATTCTGGGGAAGGATAAACTTTTCTGGACTCTCGGGGGAAGAACTTTGTCTCGTACTGGAAACAGGTGGCAGACTGTCATTTAGACCCTGTTAGACCAGGCAACTGGGCTCCTGACCCAGCATCCTCCACAACTGACCCCCACAGGTGTTAACAAGGGCTCCTAAATCCCATGTGTATACTTTGAAAATGAAGTCACCTGATAAATTTTGAACATTTTTTTAAAAGAATTATTTATTTTATTTATTATTATTTTAAATTGCTATGGGCACATGTGTTCATGAGAGAGAGAGGGAACATGAGAAAGCAAGCCACCAGGTCCAGGACTCAAACGGTGGTCGGCCATGTGGGAGTCCAGCACCTTAACCACCACACCACGAGCTGGCCCCGACTTTTGAACTGTTGATTAACATTCTATCAAAATCAACATAAGCCCTTACACCCTTTTCTATTGGTTCCATTGGTTTTCACCCTTCCTCTCTCTTTCTGGACCCTCCACACCAGAGCTGATGAGTGGCCAAAAGGAAGCATGTCTGGGAACATCTTCAAACACCCCAAGTCATTTATACGCATTTTAGCAGCACATGATCTGTAATAAATGATTAAGTAAAGCCTTTTGTGTTAAATTACGATGTTAATAATGATTCTGTCTCCTGTAATTTATGATGAATTCTCGAATGCTCCGGGTTTGATTTTGATAGAATGCGACGACGCCCGAGTTTGTGTGTGCCTTTATTTAGAACTCCTTTGAAGGCACGCATCTCCCCGCGACGGCTGCTCCTGTAATTATGTACAAAACCAATCACTCATTAGAGTTAGGATACATTATCTTCTAGACAGATGAGGCTAAATAAGCAACACATTAATAATTCAGAGAGCAGTTCATTATGCATGTGGAGGCCTGCTTCCTGACTGAAAGAGGAACCTCGTGAGCCTCTGCCAACCCTTAAACAATAGTTCCGTGTTATTGCAGCCACACTCGAGTTTACGCTTGTTAAACTGCTACTTGGATTATTTTATCAAACATTCATTTATTTGTGGTCCCTTACTGCCGAGAACAGATTTTAAAAGCTCCTTTTTTTTTTTTTAAGTTAATGATTTGAGCAGTGGGTGTTATTAATTCTCAGAATATTATCAACATGATTAATTTCCAGGCAGAGATTTATTACATAAGGATTTCAACTATGTCAACTGAAATGCATCACTGTCAGAACAAGCATCGTGGCGCAAATAGGATGCGCCGCACTTGGAGTGCTGGTGCTCAGGACGGAATCCATTTACGCTGCGACTGAAGCAAAATTACATTCTCCAGTGAAAACGAGGATTCCGAGCTTCCTTTATATGGCTCGAAGCCTTCTCGTTAGATTGTGATTTAAAAAGGTAGTTTAATAAGACTAGATTCCTACCAATAAAGTGTCCCCCCCCCTTGCTTTTTACTAGAAAAGGATCATCTCGAAAATTCCCACACATTCCAAATGTGGCCGCTGGGGATTCGGAGGGAAGCGCGCTGGCCGGGGACTCGGGGTCATGCATTCTCATCTCTCTGACCTCAGTTTCTTCATTTGTAAAGTAGAGGAGGGCACAATGATCCCAATGTCTCTTTTTTTTTCTTTTTTAAAATTTGCTATAGGGCACGTGTGCTCACCAGAGAGAGAGAGAGAGAAAGAGAGAGAGAGAGAGAGACAGGAAAAGTGAGAAAGCAAGTCACCAGGCCTGAGACTTGAACGGCGCTTGGCCATGTGGGAGTCCAGCACCTTAACCACCACGCCACCTGCTGGCCCCATCCCAGGGTTTCTTGAGGGATTTGACTTCACAGGGCCTACAGAATGGGGCTCTGATCCAAGCTTGGCCCCGGCAGCCTTGTGTGGTGTGGAGGGCTCCAGTGAGGGGACACGGAAGGCCTGCCATCACGCTGCAGCCTTCCCCTGAAAGATCTTTCCTTACTCTCCTTGGGACCAGCAGTTGGCGTAATGGCTATGTCGCTGGACTCCCACGTAGTTGAATGTGGTTCGGGTCCTGGACCTGGTGGCTTAAACTCACGCCGGGCGCGTGTGTGTGCATGTCCAAGATCCCGAGAGGAGAATGGAGGAGAAGGGATTGCGGCATGGCCATCCCTCCTGGGGGGTGATTTCTCGCTTTCTGTCTCTCTGTCTCTCTCTGTCTGTCTGGCGAGTGCACGTGCCCTATAGCAAAAAACCTCTCCAAAAAAAAAAGAAAGAAAGAAAAAAGATCTTTTCTCACTCTCCTAGAAAGGGCTACT